TGCTTCCATCTTTTCATGGAATAATTTCAGGGGACCCTTTAACTTTCCTTCATGATTTTTACTCAACTATTCAAACTTTTCCTTTGTAGGGTTTGACAGAAGATCAACTATGAATGAGGTGTTTTCCATACACGTTGAAGGATGCTACAAAAACATGGTTCATGTCATTAACTCTTGCTTCACTTACCACCTGGGATGCAGTTTATAATAAGTTCATCAGTAAATTCTATTTTCATGCCAAAATTGCAGAATTTAGAGGTAAGATTGCTACTTTCTCACAAATGGAAGGTGGGTCATTCCATGAAGCTTGGGAATGTTTTAAATTGCTTTTAGTTCAATGTAACATCATAGATATCCTTTAGAGTTACTGAATCAATTTTTCTACGATGGATTGACACAGGCTTGTCAAGTCATGGTTGATAATATTGCGAGTGGTGCTACTTGAGAAAAGACTTCACGAGAAACGAATGAGTTATATGAGATGCTTGGAGCCAGCTCAAAGCAAAAAAATGTTAGAGGAAGATCAAGAGGGATGTATGAAGTAAATACTAACATTAAGTTGGCGATGCAGGTTTCAGAGTTAGCCAAGCAGATGAAAACCATGTGCAATACGATGATCAGACAAGGACAAAGTATTGCCAAAGAGGTATGTGCTATTAGTGGTAATATTGGTCATGTAACTAACTCGTGTCCTTCTAGTGAGAATTTTTCACAGTATTCAGAGCAAGCTAATATGATGAACTCTTACAACCCGATGCCTAAATATGATCTATTTTCAAATACATACAACCCGAGTTGGAAGAGTCATCCTAATTTTTCATGGAATAACAATCATCAGCAGTTTGGCTCAAATGATCAATCAAGGATATCTTCACTAGAAGAGACATTGAATAACTTCATCCAAGTGTCTCGGAAGAACCAGTAGAATTTTGAAAAAAAGGTGTCAGCAACAAGAGGTGTCCATTAGAAAGCTAGAGATTCAGATAGGACAGATAGCAGAGGCAATACAAGGCCATGTTCCTGGGAAATTACCAAGCCAACCTAAGTAAGCAAATGCAGTCACAATACTATGAAATAGTAAGGTAATTCACAAGGAAATTAATTCTGAATCTAATAAGCCTTTAATTGATTATGTAGGGGAAGATAGAGCTAAGGAGAAGCAACCAAGTGTAGCCATTCAAAATGAGGAGATCAGTTCTATCGTTGCTCCACCAAAGCCTTATGTTCCACTTGTACCTGTTCCGAGCCGATTGAAGAAAAGCAAATGGGATAAGTCTTTTTCTGATATTTATGATATTTCATCTAAAGTTAATGTGAACTTACCTTTGCTTGATGTGATAAGAAATATGCCAAATTACGCAAAGTTCTTGAAGGATTTGATTACTCGCAAGCGTAAGTTTGAATGCAATGAAAAAGTAATGCTTCCTGAAAAGGTAAGTGTTGTGCTTCAAAGGAATTTGCCACCCAAATTGAAAGATCCAGGTAGTTTCATCCTCAACTTTACTGTGGGTGATAAAAAGAAAGAACGAGCAATGTTATATTTGGGGGAAAATATTAATCTCATGCCTTACTCCACTTATCTGTGATTAGGATTAGGAGAATTAAAGCCAACAACAATGTCTCTACAACTTGCTGACAATTCAATTAAATATCCAAGAGGTATTGTAGAGAATGTCTTGGTTAAAGTTGATAAACTAATACTTCCTGTTGATTTTGTAGTGTTAGATATGGAGAAGCTGTCAACTTATGATAGAGATTTGCCTATTTTGCTCGACTGCCCATTTAGGGCTACTACTAAGAGACTGATTGATGTTCAGAATGGCAAGCTCACTATGACGGTTTTGGATGAAACAGTGGAGTTCTTAGTTTCCAATTCCTTGGCATTTCCCTCAGATTCCAATCATTAAGCTTGAAAGACCGTGCATTCCGTCTAACCTAGACATTAAATAAAGCGCTTTTTGGGAGGTAACCTAACTTTTTACTTTGAACTTTATGTTAATTTCATTTATGGTTTTATTTTCTTTAGTTTTTCAAGTGTTTTCATTGTTTTGTTTTAGGTTATTTCGTTGTATTTTATGGTTTAGTTGTGTTGTAAGAAAAGAGCTTCACACTGCAGCACAAAATATTTATGCCGCGGCATGGCAAGGAAGAGACATAATGCAATTTGGGCAGAAACTTGATGTCGTGGCGTGATGACAACTGTGCCACAACATAAATTGTGTGCCATATCTTCATAAGGCATATACTTTTCATGTTGCAGCTTGATGAAAACGGCGCCACACGGATTTTGACGATGTCTCTAAAGTGGGTAACTTCTTTTTCCTTTTCTGTTTTTGCTTTCTAATTGTTACATTAAGGACAATGTAGGTTTTAGGTTGGGGGTGGGGAAGTTCCCTTTTCCTGAATTTTCTTAATTTTTGTGAATTTTCTTGGGTTTTTTATTTTTTATGTTAATTATCATGAGATTTAGTGTGTTTTTATTTTATTTTTAATTGAGTGTATTTCAATTTTCTGAATTAATTTATATGTCAATGATAATAACATGATTACAATGACATGGACATTTAGAATAAGCAAATTTTACTTTAGTTTAGGAATAATTCTAAATGTTGTTTTTGCCTAAGTTTGAGACTCACAAGAATGTGGTTTGTCTAGTTGGTTATTTCCAGCATTTAGGGATGTTTTTTGTGTGATTTTCCTATGACATTTTTTAGATCCCCAAATTCTAGAACCTATTTGATGACCACTTGTAGCGAAATCCTAAATAACACATGACTTAAGAAATAAATTAAAAGTCTATTTTACCCTTCCATTACTTACTAACTCAACAAAAATATTAAATCACATTTATATAATCTTGGCAATCATGCGCCATTTCGACGACTGCTGCTGACGGCTGGCGGTGGTGGCCGACGATGGTCTTGAGTGGCTGAGGGTATTTTGTTAACTTTTAAACTTTTTTGTAGTTAAGGTGTTTTAGCTAATTTCTCAAATGTAGAGGGGCTGGGTAATTGTTATTTGATAGACATTTGAGGGCAATTGTGTCCAAAATGGTTTTTAATTAAGGGCAAAATAGGTATAAAAATAAGATTACCCGGTAATCTTTTAATAACAACCCCTAGGGAAGGTATCTGATTACCTCCTACATTACTAATAGTAAACACTATTTGCAATAAAAGATACCCGTAATATTTTATTACTTGCAAACCAAACGACGGAATCTTTCAAAATAAATGAAGATTACCCCCGTTATCTCATATTACCCCGATCCAAACGCACCCATAGTGTTACTGTTGGTAATGTAAGGGATAATCAGACACCCTCCCCAAGGGCTATTATCAAAAGATTACCAGGTAATTCGATTTTTATACCTATTTTGCCCTTAATTAAAAACCATTTTGGATACAAGTGCCCTCAAATGTCTAACAAATAACAATTACCCAGCCCTTAACATTTGAGAAATTAGCTAAAACACTCCAGCTATAAAAAAGTTTAAAAGTTAACAAAACACCCCTAACCACCCAAGAACATTGCTGGCCACCACCGTTAGCCATCGGCGGTAGTCGCCATAATGGCGCACTATCGGCCAAATCTGGTGGGTCGTGCACCGGTAAGGCCATTTCTATGGTCGTTTTATGGCCAAAAATGTGGCAATTTCACAACCAAAGATTTAGCCGTGAAACAGCCATGGATCGGTGATCCATGGCGGAAAATGACTTTGCCAACACATGGCCGGCCATATATGGCCAATCATGCGCCATTCCATCGAATGCCGACGGCGACCGACGGTGGTGTCTGGTTGTCGGCAGTGTATTTTGCTACAAATTAAAGTTTTATATGGTTAGGGTGTTTTAGCAAAATTTCAAATGTAAGTGGTTAAAAAAATGATTTAAAAATAATAATTTATTATTATTAAAAAGGAAGGGCAATTCAGTAAAAGCTTCTGTCGATAATATTTTATCCTTTCAACCAAATATATTACTCATCAATTGATTCGAACCAACCAAACATATTTCCTAAATATTCAGGGTGCGTTTGGCTCGGGGAATGTTTTATTGTTGAAAATATATGATTATCATTTAAAAAAACTACTTCTAACCCCCTATATTTGAGAATTTAGCTAAAACACCTAACAACAAAGTTGAATTTAACAAAATACCCCTAACCACCCAAGACCACCGTCGACCGCCGGCCACCACTGCCATCTACTGGTGGCAGTCACCGAAACAGCGCACGACCAAAGAGATTTGGTCGGTCGTGCATCATTTTGGCTATTTCTGGCCAGATCAAAGGCTGAAAATAGTTAGATCGATGTGGATCTGGCCGGAAATGGCCAGATCCATGACAATCTGGTTGTTTCTTGCTAGATAAACAACTAGATTGAAGGCCAAAAACAACCAGATCGTCGTGGATCTGACAAAAAATTGCCACAAATGGCTAAATCTGTTCTGGCCGTTTTCGGCATTCAATATGGCCGAAAACAGCCAGATCGGCACACTGTTGGCCAGATTCAGTCAGTCGTGTGTCGATCTGGCAACTATTGCCATTGGCCGACGATGGTCTTTGATGGTTGGAGGTATTTCGTTAACTTTTAAACTTTTTGTGGTTGGGGTGTTTTAGCTAAATTGTCAAATTTAAGGGGTCTGGGTAATTGTTATTTGGCAGACATTTGAGGGCAATTCAGTCTGACATGGCTTTTATTTCAGGGCAAATTTGGTTAAAAAAAGATAACCCTGATAAAAAAAAAGATTAACACCCTTGGATTAGGTAATCTATAACCCTTAAAATGACCAATTCACTATTGCAAATGGAACATTCACGTGATCTTATATAACTGTCAAACCAAACAAAAGAATATATGGAGTCAAAGATAGATAACATGAATTATTTGCTTACAGCCCTAACCTAACATAGCCTTACAATAATCATAAGACAATCTATCTTTCTATTAATATATCATTCTTATCATAAAATATTATATAGACAATTTATCTTTCTATTAATATATCATTCTTATCATAAAATATTATATGATTCTAATGGGCGATTAAAATTTACTAATAAAACAAAAAAAAAATTCGGTGACATAATTCGTTCTTTCACTCTCCTCTCTTCCTCTTTCTGTGGCCAACAGAAAGCAAAACAGCGTGAAGCTCTGATACATAGCACTTCGTTTCCGATTCTGATTGCGGCTTCCATTTATCATCTTAAATTTAACAATTCAACTCTCGTTTAAGGTAATTATTTTATTTAAATTTTCAATTATTTATCTATGTTTGATTAGGGTTTAGGGTTTTTATAGAGATGAGTCCAGATGTTATAGAAAATAGAGGTTATGCTTAAATTCTAATACTTTCTCTGTTTCGTTGGATTCATTGATGAAATATTGGTTAATATTTCTCATTCTTCAAGGATTTTATTTATTTGTTCTTAATTTTCCTTTTAACTTGGTGGCGTGAAGAAAACTTCTGTCGCTGAAGACACTATTATACTTTCTTGGACACTGTACTTAAATTACGTCATTATTTGGTTATAAGTGAGCATATAGATTACTACATTTGAGTTGGTAATGTAATCTTTCTTTTAAGGTACTCTGAATTACCAGAAAAAGATGTTTCTATGGAATGTGTTGGTTGTGGTAAATAATTTGTGTGTGTTATTTACTTTTTCTAAAGTTTGTAGTTCAAAGAAAATTTGGTGATAACAAACTTGATTTGTGTCGGCACATAACATAGGAGCCCAAAGTTTTGGCTGAAATATGCAATCTAGTACTATGTGCTCACGCCTCTTCATTTATAGCTACAATGGTATTATTGATGGTGTGGCGATTGGTGATGGAATTCTACGCCCCAAAAGGGATTCTAGTACTCTTGTTAGTATCTATTCCATATTTTCACACTTGAAATTTCAACCTTAGAGAAAGATTAGTCAAAGTCCAGATCATTTTATGCTAACATGTTGTTAAATGATTGTGCACTTGGAGATGCTTGGGGAAGGATACACTCTACAGGAGTTGTCTTTCAAGATGTATATTATCTTACAAAACCAACACTCAGATGTACTAGTTTGTGAGCGAGTGTTAAATTCTGGATCTTGCCAAGTACTGTGGGAAACTAAATCCACGTGATTGACATTGACAACGAACTGATATATGTGCATACTGGGTGTGTGTGTGTATCAAAATGGTATAATTAGCATTGAGCCTGTATGTATAGAAGAGATTTTGCTAGTATCTTTTCAGTAGTAAACACAACTATTTAGTGGTGATGATTCAATAATATCAACAAGTACTGGGTTTCTGTCTGCAATAATTGTTGAGCAAGGTCTCAAGGGAATCAGATTCTTGCCTATTAGGTACAGCGAGTCATTAGGATCAACTAATAGAATCCGATTGAGGGTCATATGATTCTACCAACTACTAAATGTAAAGCTTTTAACTCAACACAGCAATGTAAGAAGTTTAAGACTATTCTTTTTAGCATTATTGTAAAGAAATCATAATTTACAGCATTATTGTAAAGAAATTATAATATACATTGTTTACATTGGCATGTTGCTCATACAGGTTGAGCTTTTGCTTCTAATATTCTCATCCCATGTCATTACAATATGAAGCATCTTAAGATATTATTTAAAAAGTGAAGATATGATCTGTTTTGCTTTCCATAAGCTTTTCTTTTCTTCTTCCTCTCTTGGATCTGATTCTCTTTTGGAATTCTCTCTATCTATTGATTCATGACAATTGATCAGTTTTTTTTTTTTTTCGACGATTTCAGTATCTAATACATTGCGTTCTATCTAAGATTTAGAAAATTGTAAATGTATAGCATTCTGTTTGAAGGTCAGGATACTATGATAGATGTTTATATTTTGTCGTATTATTTGTGGTTGTGAACCAATAGAAGCCTCAGTTTACTGTTGTTTGACGAGTTTTCCTAATGCTTTTGCTTGTTTTATTTTTTCATGTTCTTCTTTGAAGGATTGTATGGATTTTTCTATTTTTCCTTGGATCAAGAATGGTTTTTGGTGAAATTGTAAGCTTTTGGTATTTCTTTAGCTGCATGTTTAAATTGCAAAAAGATCTTTCTATTTTTTCTTGGATCAAGAGTGTGTTTTAGTGAAATTGTAAGCTTTTGGTATTTCATTAGCTGCATGTTCAAATTGCAAAAACATTGGTATTGGTTGTGGCTTTGTACCACTCTGTGTTTCCCTAACTTGAACTGTTTTTGGTTCTTTTTCCTGCACTGATTGAAGGGAGCTAATAAGCCTAAATCAGGCTAACCTTCTGAAAGTGGCCCATTTCGGACTATGTATGTATGTATGTATGTATGTATGTATGTATGTATGTATATATATATATATATATATATATATATATATATACACATTTGGCCCTACTCAGAATGATCATTTAAGTGAACTTGTAGGCTACAGCTGTTCTTGGCCCACCCTGTTTGGGGTGGACAGATTAATTCCCTTGGCATAATCTTTTTATTTTTGTATAATAAAAATTTTGAAATAAAAAAAAAATCCTTAATTGGTGTACCCAGATCCAGTTTCATTCATTTTTACCCTAATTACCACATAACAAACTCTTTAGCCAATGTCTCTCTCTCTCACCCACAGGTACAGTGATGGCAAGCCAAAGTTGATAGTGGTTGAGTTCTTGGGTTTTGCTTGTTTCTTTGGCTTGAAAAACAAAATAAAATTGAAGGGCCAGATTTTTGTGATGTTTTTATTATTTTTTTATTTAGAACTTTGCTGTGAATTGGATGTTAAACAGTTTGATTTACTGAATTGTGGGGAAACATTAAGAATTCTGAGTATAGGAGATGGAGGACTTTTATAATTATGGGTTTTGTGATGTTTTGATTATTTGATTATTAGAAGTTCTCTGTTCTACTTTCTTCTGCTATTTTACTTTTTCTTAGTGGAGATACACATCATTGTTTCTTATACTGCCATCTATTAATACCTTGAGTGTTTAATGCAAATTATTTATATTTTAGTTGGTTATTTGTTTAATTGATGTCTGATAGTGTATATTGTTTTTGCTACTAAATTTGATAAAGGGAGGGAACAAGGATGGGGAAGGGTCGGGTTCCCTTTTTTTCAGGGAATGTTGTCTGTGCACGTAATTGGAAAAACAGGAATTGTGGCCTGCTCTGTCCTGTTGCCATACCTAGATTGGTCTTTGTGTTTTTGGAATTTTTGACAATTATGGCCTTATGCCTACTGGCAACTTGACATTTAGGATAATCTGATGATGTCTGGAGAATCTATGTAAAGTGTTTGTTACTACTACTTTGGAATAGGATTTTCATTCAAGTTTTGTGGCAATCTACATGTGCTATGAAAGTTATTTGTTATTCTATAATGCAAGCAACTGAAATAAACATATTGATTTTAGATTGTGAGTAAATATTAGCAGATTATTAGGAGACACGCGTGATTCTATTTATTCATTCTGGTTTTTGGCTTCTGTGGCAGGTTGAAGAATGCCGAAGGTTAAGACAAACCATGTCCAGTATCCAGAGGGCTGGGAATTAATTGAGCCTACTCTTCGTGAATTACAAGCCAATATGAGAGAAGGTTGTTGTCTTCCACATCAAGCACATTTCACTGAATGTTTTTTTATAATGATATTAGTTGGGGAAATTATCATAGATTCCTTTAAGAGATCCTTGAATTTATTTGCTTCTAATGTTTTAAAAAATAATTTAAACTCCCTTATGGGATGCGTGTTTTTATATTAATTTTTTTTTATATAAAAAAAATAGATCCGAAAGGATGTTTATTTAATCATTTCTAAAAACTTTAGGTAATGATAAAATTTTAAGATTTCTCAGGTCAGCTACATAATAATATTATCCTAGTAGTAATAATTTTATTTTTGGAACTTGTGAAAATAAAATGTATGTGTATGTTTTGGACAGCGGAGAATGATCCACACGATGGCAAGAGGAAATGTGAAACACTATGGCCTATATTTAAAATAGCACATCAGAAGAGCCGCTACATTTTTGACCTTTACCATCGAAGGAAGGAAATATCTAAGGAGCTTTATGAGTTCTGTTTGGACCAAGGCTATGCTGATCGCAATTTGATTGCCAAATGGAAGAAGGTTTGTCTCATATCTCTGTCTTAATTTACTATTGTTAAGTGTGTTCTGCCGGCTTCTTCATCAGTGGGACCATATAGTTAATATGTTCTTTGAACAAGCTTGCTTGTGTAATGAGAATAAGCTACTGGAACTCAGTAATTAAATCTGTAACGAGGATAAGCTATTGGAAATTAAACTTTTCAATTTAAGTTGCAGTAAAGATATATAGTAGGAAATTAGAAATTATTTAACTTATATAGGTCTTCTTTATCGGTTCCTCAAGAAGTTTATTATTTTCTCTGTTTAACCTGGGAAGTATTAGAATAGTTTTGTTACTTTTGTTATTGAGGATATGTGTTATGACTTGCAGCCGGGCTATGAACGTTTGTGTTGCTTAAGATGCATGCAGCCACAGGATCACAACTTCCAAACAACTTGTGTGTGCCGAGTACCCAAGAATCTCAGGGAGGAGAAGGTCATAGAGTGTGTCCATTGTGGTTGCAGGGGCTGTGCCAGCGGCGATTAAGAAAAAATAGATGGTGAGCCTACATACTAGTTGGTATCAAAATAGTGTTGATACCAAGCACTATTTGGTTGATTTCATCTACTTTCAGCTAGTGTTGGTATTTTATCAAACATGAAGCATGATTTGAAAATTTAGTTCCATCTTCATCCTTGTCACCATTGACGATGAGTATCCACTGTAATTGAGTAATTTAGATCTAGTTTATGGTATTGTTGTTATATTGGGGTTGGTACTATGCCTGAAGCATCAGATATTAAACAAGGTGGGATGGGGGCTTCTATTGTCTAATTTCATTTAAAACTAACTAATTTGAGGTAATATTGATGATATTTTAGCAAACATTCTTTTCTCATAGGACTGGAAAGGCCTGGTTGGTCCAAATATGTTAAGAACTGGCCAGCGGCCTATCTCTTGTATAAAACTAATCAATCTGGCTTGCTGGGCTACGCTTCAATTCTTCAATTATATTACATTTATATTTTATATGCCTTTGTTATTCAAGTCCCACTTTTTTTTCTTAGTTACATCTTTATTTGAAGGTTAATTGTGTTATTTTACAATACCTCTCCCTACAAAGTTAAGAGCACAAACAAATAAAATGACAACTTTCTTAAGTAAACATAGATTACGTATGGTTAGTACAATCTATGGCTTTGTTAGGTTCTCAGAGAAAAAACTATTTCCAACATGGTCTCTGAAGTTTGAACAACAGTTTTCCATTAAAATTTCTAAACCCATAACTATATAAATGTAGATGAATGACAGTACAGTGGGGGTGAAATTTCAGATTATGAGTTTTAGCTTCTTCTGCTAGGGAGGCAATCTTGAATAGTCTTAGTTGGTCATAGAAAAAACTATTGCGCTTTCAAATACAATAATATTATTTTTTTCTAAAACTTATTCTAAATGACATTGACATGTAAATAAAGTGATGTTAATGCTCATATGGTGACACATCATTTGGGATGTGATACTTTTGATAAGTTTTTGGAATGAGTAGTATTACAGTACTCTTCCAAGAGTTTAAAACAAATTGTGAGAGAGAGGGGAAGGTATCCGGTTTTTTATTAATGGGATGGAATACAATTTGAATTGGATACCTTCTGCACTGGCTTTGCCATCAAAAAAGACTCCTTTTTCTTCTTTGGGCTTCACTGTCTTCTTGGACCTCTTCTTTAACCTGTCGAAGTTTACTTTAGGCTTGGACCTATTTCATTTAGCCCAATTTATTTAATCCCAAATTCAACTCCTAAACATTCCTCCACTAAGAACACAAAAAGAACAAAAAGTAAAATTTGTTGTAATTGGGCATCCACCGACCTTAACTTTGAGGCGGTGAATGGAGGAGGGGACGTTGGCTATAAAAAGCCTCTCCCCTTCATTTTACTATTACAATAAAGTGAAAAGAAAAGAAGATTTATAGCCCCTTCGACTTTACTTTTTTAAACATTTTGTCTTCCTTAATCTATTGTACTTATACCACTAAGATTATATTATGTTATCAGCACGAAGAATTTAACAAGTATAATAGTGCACGCTTACTAAAAATACGTATTTTCAATCTTACAAGTGTTATTTAATCCTTTTTTTCGCTTCTATGGTCGGATTTATTTATTACTCCTAAATTCTGCTTCCATAGTTGGAATTATTTATTACTGTTGAATTCCGCCTCTATAGTCAGATTTATTTATTACTGTTGAATTCCACCTCCATGATCGAATTTATTTATTACTGCTGAATTCTGCCTCTATAGTCGGATTTATTTATTATTATTGAATTATGCCTCTATGGTCGGATTTATTTATTATTGTTAAATTATGCCTCCATGGTCGGATTTATTTATTACTGTTAAATTCTTGCTCTACGGTCGAATTTATCTATTACAGTTAAATTCTGCCTCTATGGTCGGATCTACTTATTATTGTTAAATTCCACCTCTATGGTTGAATCTATTTATTATTGTTAATTTCTGTCTCTATGACTGGATCTATTTATTATTGTTGAATACTGTCTTCATGGTGGATATATTTATTCTTGTTAAATACAACCTTTACAGTTAGATTTGTTTTTATTATATTTTCAATAACCAATGTTAGTAATTGTGTTTCTATATTATATTTGATAAATGAACTTGAAGTTCCATAAATAAATATCATTTTAGAACTTGAAGTTCTAAATATTGATTACAAACATGAAGTTTGTAAAACAGAGACAAAGAATGGACCTGAAGTTCCATATCACAAAGATGAAGTTATGTAAACATTCTTACTAAAGTAATTTTTTTAGGATGGACTTTGAAACTAAGACATCGATATCTAGTAATGATGGAGATATTTGTATAGTAGATAGTGCAACAACGCACACCATCCTTCGAGATACAAAATACTTCTTAGGTTTAACCTTTACTAAGGCTAAAATAAATACCATATAAGGGCTTGCAAACATAATTGAGGGCTCCGGGAGAGCAACACTCGCATTACCAAGCGGAATTAAATTAAGTATCCACGATGCTTTATATTCTAGCAAATCCAGAAGAAATTTGCTTAGTTTCAAAGATATACGACTCAATGGATACCACATTGAAACTTTAAGTGAAAAGGATGGAGAGTTTCTATACATCACTACTAATATTTCATGCCAGAAGCATGTATTGGAGAAACTCCCTGCTTTCTCGTCAAGGTTATATTATACATTCCTGAAGAATGTTAATGTATATGCAGTTATGAACCAGAAGTTCATTGATCATAAACTTTTTAAAATTTGGCATGACCGTCTTAGTCACCCAAGATCTACTATGATGTGTAGGATTATAGAAAACTCACATGGGCACCTATTAAAGAACCTGAAGATTCTGTCACCTAATGAGAGTGCTTGTATTGCTTGCTCACAAGGAAAATTGGCACTTAAGCCATCCATCACTAAAGTTGATTTAGAATCCCCATCATTTTTACAAAGAATTCAAGGGAACATATGTGGACCTATCATCCACCAAGTGCACCTTTCTGCTACTTTATGATACTGATTAACGCATTGGCACGATGGTCACATGTTTGTCTACTATCTACCCTTAATGTTGTCTTTGCTAGATTGTTGGCGCAAATTATTAGATTACGAGCACACTTTCCAGATTACCCAATTAAAGTAATCCGTTTAGACAATGCTGGTGAGTTTACCTTAAAGACATTTGATGATTATTGTACAACAATGGGAATTGATGTTGAGCACCAAGTACCACATGTACATACCTAGAATGGAATGGCGGAGTCATTTATAAAGCGTATCCAATTAATAGCAAGAACTTTGCTATTACGTACACAATTACCGACTTCTGCCTAGGTTCATGTTGTTTTACATGCTGCAGTGTTAATTCGCCTAAGACCTACTACATATCATCAATACTTTCCAATACAACTTGTATTTGGACATCAACCTAATATATCCCATTTAAGAACTTTTGGTTGTGTTGTGCAACTTCCAATGGCACCCCCTCAACGCACCAAAATGGGACCCCAACATCGTTTGGGAATATATGTTGGTAATGACTCACCATCTATCATCAGATATCTTCAGCCCTTGACGGACGATTTGTTTACCGCACATTTTGCGGATTGCTATTTTGATGAGACAACATTCCCATCTTTAAGGAAAAATGTAAAGCCTCCTGAAGTAAGGCCTAAACTTTCCTAGAAAGTGAATTCTATGTCTCTTTTAGATCCTTGCCAATATGAAATTGAAGTGCAAAGAATAACACATTTGCAAAATATTGCCAACCAAATGCCTGATGCATTTACAGATGCAATAAAGATAATGAGATCATACATTCCTGTTATCAATACAGCAACAAGGATTGATGTTACCAATGAACAATCCATGCGGATAACGATCGATTCATCTATTACACGCCAAAAGCGTGGTAGGCCTGTTGGAGCCAAGGATACTGTTCCTAGGAAACAAATGGCACAAAATCAAATAGGTGGCAATATTGACAATACTGGAATAATTGACAATTCCACATTTTCTAAAATAGCTCCAAAAGAGTTAACAGTCCCTAAAAGGACACAAGCCCCTGAAGAGGAAGAAATCCCTGAATGAATACAAGAACATAGAAATGAGGAAATTTCTATAAACTATACTCACTCTAAAGAAATGTGGAATCGTGAGACAACTATTGTCGATAACATATTCTCACACGTAGTAGCTACTGAAATTATGAATGATGAGTTTGAGTCACATTCTATTGATGAATGTCGACAAAGACATGATTAGACAAAATGGGAAGAGGCAATTCAAGCAGAATTAACCTCCCTAGCAAAACGTAATGTATTTGGACCTATCGTCTAAATGCTTAAAAATGTGAAACGCGTAGGATACAAGTGGGTATTCACAAGGAAACAAAATGAGAAAAATGAGATTGCTAGGTATAAGGCTAGACCAATGGCTCAAGGTTTCTTGCAGAGACCTGGAATTGACTTTGATGAGAAGTATTTACTAGTGATAGATGCTATCACATTTCGATACTTGATTAGTTTATCAGTCTCAAAAGGACTTGATATGCGTCTCATGGATGTTGTCATTGCGTATTTGTATGGTACACTAGATACTAATATCTATATGAAAATCCCTGAAGAATTCAAAGTGCCAAAACCATATAAAAGGACCATGTATTCAATAAAATTGCAAAGATCGTTATATGGGTTGAAACAATCAGGACGAATGTGGTATAATCGTCTTAGTGAATATCTGATTAAGGAAAAATACATCAATGATCCTGTATGCTCGTGTGTCTTTGTAAAAAGGTTAGAATCAGGATTTGCAATTGTGGTAGTGTATGTCGATGACATGAACTTAATAGGGACTCTTGAAGAGGTCACAAAAGCTACTACATACTTAAAAAGAGAATTTGAAATGAAGGATTTGCGGAAAACAAAGTATTGTCTCGACCTACAGATCGAGCATTGTTCAAATAAAATTTTGCTCCATCAATCAAATTATACTAAAAAGATCCTTAAACGATTTTCTATGGATAAATCTCACTCCTTGAGTACCCCAATGATAGTTCGGTCTCTTGATCCTAAAAGTGATCCATTTCGTCTTAAAGAAGAAGACGAAAAGATATTTGGTCCTGAAGTATCACATCTAAATGCAATAGGTGCATTATTATATTTGGCACAATGTACGAGACCAGACATAGCATTTGCAGTGAATCTATTAGCAAGATTTAGCTCTACACCAACTCGACAACATTAGAATGGGATCAAACATATCTTTCGTTGCCTCCATGGAACAAATGACTTTGGATTATTTTATCCAAGGAAGTTTGATAATGATCCTAAATTAGTTAGCTATACAGATGCTAAGTACCTTTCTGATCCTCACAAAGCCCGTTGCAAACGGAATATGTTTTCAATTATAATGGTATTGCAATATCATGGCGCTCTACAAAACAAACATTGGTTGCCACTTCCTCCAACCACTTTGAGATT